TATTCTATCACTCATATTACAGGAATCCCTAATAATGCTCAAGGACAAGCCATTATTGAATGTGCCAACCAAACTTTAAAGAGACAAATATCAAAACAAAAAGGGAGAGATGGGTATTATTGTTCCCCCCATAACCAATTAAACCATGCATTATTTATAATTAATTTTTTGCACTGTGATAAATATGGCCAAAAGCCTGCAGATAGGCATCAGGTCTCTAATTCTGGACTTCCTATGGGTGTGGTAAAATGGAAGGACCTCCAAAGTAACCAATGGAGGGGACCTGATCCTGTGCTAATGTGGGGCAGAGAATTTGCTTGTGCTTTTCCAGATGAAGCCTATAAACCTATTTGGGTTCTGGAGAGAATCATCATTTGACATGTTGATGGACTCGACAGAAGGACTGGAACCCAGATTCAAGAAACTGAATATCTCCCCACCAGTCCCAGTGTAGCTGCCCAGTCAGAAGGAACCAGAAAGTGCCCCAATGATAAGACAGAGGCTCTGACACCTTGTGGCCACTATCAAAAGAACATCTCCACCCACATAAGGCCAGTTGAAATGCCTGACTCAAAAAGCTCAACACTCAGTTGAGGAGAACAGGGGGCCAAGTTCCCCCCAAGCCTTGTTCATGGCCATGCTAGCCATTGTTGCTTGTCAGGTTGGTGGAACAAGGAGAAATTCTTACTGGACTTATTTCCCAGACCCTCCCATTCTCCAACCTACTACATGGGCTGGTGGGTTGGTCCCTGTCTTTACCAACAATACCCGTAGTTGGGAGAACAGTCTGATATACATATTACTGCTGACAATAGTATAAATTTTAACTTCATGGGAGCTAGTAATAGCCCTCCTATTTGCCTTTCTAACACCCCTAAGTTGGGTTGTCTTAAGATGAGTCAAGAAAATTAAACCTCCTACAGGGCTACACAAATAGCTAATATTCCAGGCCCCTGGGACATAATAAAATATCTACAAACTATATCTAAGTGGGGGTTCCCTATGTCTCCCAGGCTCACCCTAATATCCCATACTGCCCTAATAGCACAGGGATAGAGCTTGGAAAATTCCCCAACTGGATAGAATGTGCCAGTCCTGTGTCCACAGTCTGAAACCTTACGGGAACCCCCTCTTAATCTCACATTGGTCTCACAGATTGGACCCCTCTCATCCTAACCATGAGTTCATTTTCCCTTGGGGTTTTTATTGCAATATCCTTACTACTTTCCAAGGTGACATCCAAAAGGAACTGTGGCAGATCACAGCCTCCTTTGGTTTTGTTAACTGTACTAGTGGGTCACTGGTTGATTTGGCAGGAAGCTGTGGTACAACCTCCCCCAGCTATGGGGTCTGGGCCTGTGTCCAACCCCCTTATGTCCTTTTAGCAGGCTCTGTTAATGTCACCCCAGTAGATAACCACCATGCCTTACAATGTAACTCTTGTAATCTTACAAATTGTGTCACCCAGCATAATGCATGACAAGATATCCTGGTTTTACACCAGCCCCCCTTTATTATGATTCCTGCTAACACATCAAGCCCTTGGTATGATGATGCAGGACTACAAGTGCTTCAAGAATTATACTACTAACTTGCTTCCTGGCCTCGTAGAGCCAATGGATTGATAATTTTTGGATTGGTGACCTTAATTTCAGTTATCGCTTCCGCAATGACTGCCACATCCATACTGTCTCAATCCATCCAAAATGCCAAGTTCATCAATGCTCTGGCTTGAAATACCTCCAAGGCCCTACAACAGCAAGAATCCATAGACTTAAAGCGAGAAAAAAAATTGAATGCCTTAGAGGCTGTAGTCATTGGATTGGGAAACCAGATAAACAGCATAAAGATGAGACAAAGATTACGAGGTCATGAGGCATACAGTTGGGTTTGTGTTACTTGTGTTTCTTATAATAACAGCCTTTGGGGTTGGGACTTAGTTTAAAAACACCTCCAAGGCATATGGAGCCACAATAACATCAGCAGAGACCTGCTTAAGCTACACCACAATATTCCAGACATCCAGAATAGCCAAGATCCTATCATACAACCTGCCCAAACAGCACAAACTCTTCTTAATGATCTCAAGGGATTCAGTCCCATTAATAGGTTACAACATTCTGACTGGTATATTCTGAGGGTATTTTTTTTTATTTGCTCTAATCTTCCTTTGTTTTTTGCCACTCGAATATGGAATCTTCCAATGCCAATTCAGAGCCGCCACAGTAGCCAACCATCACCTACATGTATAAAATAGACAAGGGGGAGATGCGGGGAGCAGATGAGATGTGGGGAGTGAATGAGTCCAGACAGCAGGCCTTGAGCAAAGGCAAGGCCCCAAGCGAAGGCAAGGTCCCACCTGGTTGCACTGCATCCTAGCCAAAGAGCAAGGGATTCACCCTGCTACACGGAATGGCGTCTCAGAGCCCACACATCTGGGTGCAAATAGTATAGATAAAGTCTTAGTGACAAGATAATCATGGAACAGCTTGCCATTCAGGTAGCAACAAAATTCCATTATAGCTCCCTCATAGACCTTGAATCCCTCCCAACTTCCTTTGTGCTTGATTAAAAAATAAACGTGCTGAGCTAGTTCGGAGTCACTTCTCCTCCATCAGAAGAAAGTGTCCCACCTGGTTCCAGCTTTTATTTATGTCTTTGTGTCTTTCTTAATCTCTCATCACTCTCTCTCGGGACCCTCAAGGCAGCCGCACCGGCCGCGGCACCTTTTGAGTGAAATATCGAAGGTTAAGGTGGGTTATAAGCTCCAGGTAAACAAGTGCTCTTGTCCCTACAGATTCCTTACCTTGTTGGGGAAGGAAATATATTCAGAGCTGGGGAGCCCCTAAGGTCTTGTTCATGTGTCCAGAGCAGGAACCTCTGCTGCCTAGGTCTAAGGACAATATTTCCTAGAACTTAAATTCCCAAAGTTTCTTCATCTGTATGGAGGAGTTTGCCTCACTCCTCTACAGAACTGCAGACAACTTAGAATATTTATATTAGTTGATAAAAATAAAGATCTTGAGAAGTATCTGCTATGTCCTTTTCCCAAAATCATGGCCTTCACAGAAACTTGGATGAAGCTGGATACCATCATACTAAGTAAACTATCACAAAAACAAAGAAATGGATACCACATGTTCTCACTCATCAGTGGACCCTGATCACTGGTCACAACAGCACAAGCAAGGGATCAGCCAACACTGGACAGTACTAAGGGAGGGATGAGGGAGGGGGAAGGGAAGAGAGCACGTGGCAACATACTGTGAACCTGGGCCACTATCAAGGAAGAGAGAGTCAGCTAAAAAGTCAAACTTCACCTACATGCAAACTACTTATGTAGTAAATCCCCACTTGTTCCCCACAACTCTAAAACTAAAAATAAAATTTATATTGGAGGAAAAAAAGATTTTGATGTCAGTGGTTCTTGACTAGATAAGAAATAAAGAAGTCTGTGTGTGAGTTTTAAAGCATGGACAAGCAAGATATCAGGATAACACAGAGGTTTATAGGATGTGCCTTCATCACCTACCACTATTAATTAGATTTGCCAAGGTTCCTGGTGACAGCTGATGCACAATCCTCACTTCCTTATACACCAAATGGCAAGATCAAATAAAGCATTGATGAGGGGATTGGTCTCTACATGTCTGAGCTTCCATCATATGGTTTCACTGTTGATGTTTTTCTGAAAGCGTAATCTGAAGCTGGACAGAAAACAAGGCTGAAGGGGTCAACTTGGGTTGGCTCAATGGAAAACATGTCTGCCAGGCTTTGAAAAGTGAACTTTAGACTGAGGACAAACAAAGATAATTGCAGTGTAGCCTACAAGAGTATGCAAGTGAGGACACTGACAGTAAACTTATTATGTTACTCTAGGAGAGAAGTAACAGTGACTCTGGTTAATAAAGTGCCATTGGAAGCTGTGGTGAATGGATAACCACTGTGTTTTACAAAGATGTATTGAAGGCTTACTGTGTGGCAAGAATTATTCTAGAATCTGGGGTCCAGCAATGAACAACTCAGATACTTTACCTTTTAGTATGGAGATGTGCAGAACAACAAATAAATACATGCCTGTTAGTGATGAGTTCTAAAGGGAAAAAAGTAAGGAAATAGAAGTGGAGAGCCTTGCTATTTAACATAGTGTTAAAATGGTAGGCTCCCCTAAATACAGCAATATTTTACCAGAGACCAGAGTATAGGTATTAATCAAGGTGGTGGGACTTGATTAATAATTAAATAAAGGACAAAAAAAGTGAGAGGCATGGAGGAGTGGGATGGGGAAAGAGGATGCTTAGAAAACGTCAGAATTATGCCAGCCCTTGTGTTGGGTGAGAGGTAGGGTAAGATAAATATGCAGTAAAACAGTTCAGGGTATGGGAAAAGATGTGCTCAATTCTGAACACATTGAACTAGAGGTACCTATGGATCCCTCCAGTGAAGGTGTCTGTAGGTGGCTGGAGCTCAGGAGACATGTCACAGTTGACACAGGAACTCATCATATAGTTTTGAGAAAAATTTCAAAATTGAAAGTAAATGAAAAAGCCCAAAAATCCTGCATAATTAAAAGCATAGATGTCCCAGTGTCATGCAAACAGTTTTGAGCCATAAAGAAACAGAGTATTAAGGGGGGTTTTAAAAGAGGAATCAGAGGAAAATGGTGGAATGTCATGATTGTGTTGTCTAGGAAGCCAATGAAAAGCTGACTTTCAGAGCCCCAAACTAGGAGAGTGAAAAAGTAAATAGTCTGTGTTAGCATTTGAGGCCCTAGAAATTCAGAAAATACCTAGGATGGCTTATCATGGGGCAAGCTGAGGGAGTGGCTAGCGTTCTCCTGCTGTGGGAGAGTAGGTGGACTTAGCAGATTTGAGTTCCAGAGGTGACAGAGCCTTATACCTATGGGGTAGTGAGATGCAGAGCTATAAGGTTGGTGTCAAATGAGGTCCTGTGAAGGACTCTGAGCAACCCCCAGGTTCTTTATTTTGCAATACACTCACCATTTCCTTGGATGAACCATTCGAAGTATTGTTCCAGTGACTCTGATCTCTTAAGAAATTTTGTCATACTCCAAAAAAAATAACCAGACACAAGAACATCTCTGGGATTTCTGATGAGATAAATCACCTTGAATGAAAAAATGAAAAATCAATAGTACTTTCCTACTCTTTTTGATCTCCCTAAAAATGGAGAAAAAGCCAATTATTAGAAAGTGCCTATTAAATATCCATAGATTTTTAAAATAAATTACTTACTGCATTCACTAATCAAATGTAAAATTTAAAGTTCTTATGATGTAGCCACTGCACTAGGAATACAGCAACGGAGGGGAAAAACATTGTCCCTTCTTTCCAGGATATTATATTCTACTCATAGTGGCAAACAATTGGAAGATTTTAAAAGATGAGTATTATATTTGTGTACTCTAGTTTAAAGATTACAAACAGGAAAATGAATTATGCTGCAGTCATAAATATATAGTCCTATATATTCATATATACACTCAAGACCATGGATAAATCTTAGACATTACATTGAGTAAGAGAAGCCAGACATCTAGTAACTCATACAGCATGAGTCCATTTATATGAAGTTCAAGAACAAGGCAAATGAATCTACAGTTATATGCAGTCTGACAATTAAGTTCATGAACTCATTTTAGAATAAAGTGCTACATACCTCACTGCTGAATATTACTATGGTCACTTTCAAAGAACTCTCTTTGGGAAGCTGTGTACTGACACCAGTACCTACTCTGCCCATCAATGCAACTTTGGGACTCTTTTTATGGGATGGCTATCAGAGCTGTCTGTATTAACCTCAATGTCCTGAATGTCATCAAAATGTCCTCCTTTCAATATTTCCTTAATCTTCAGATAAAGAAAAAAGTCATTGGGGCCAGATCAGGTGAGCAGGCAGGGTGCTCCAATACAGTTATTTGTTTACTGGCTAAACCCCCCCCCCACAGACAATGCTGTGTAAGCTGATGCATTGTCGTAAAGCAAGAGCTACTTTGGGACCATTTTGCACACCTTTCTCATGCCAAGATTGTCAGTTAAGCTTTTCCTGTTTCTCTATCAATGTTTATTTGGTCTGCTATGCTTCTCACAGTCAGCTGACGATTTTGATGCACAATTGGATGAATCTTTGCAATGTTTTTGTCAGTCCTACTCACTACTGGCCATCCTAAACTCTCCTCATCTGTGATGCTTTCTCTACCCTCAGAAAAACATTTAATCCATTTGTTCATTGCCGTTTTCTTCCTGGCATTATCTCCATAAACCTTGTCTAACATGTCCCTGATTTCACTTCCACTCTTTCCAAGTTCAACAGGAAATGTAATGTTTGTTCATTCCTCTAATTCAAGTTCTGGCATTCTTGCAATGGCACACAAAAACACACAACAACAATAATGAACACCACTCAGCAAGACACTACCACACATCGACATGAACACAGCTGTGAGACACTGATATACCAAGGTTATAAAACCTAACCTAGTTGTTTGTACAGTGCTGCCAATGTAGGCACATGGTGGTAAGTTTGCAAACTTAATTGCCAGATTTCATATACCAGGGAATGTTTACCATTGTGGGTGAGCATTGATTGGGAAGGAGCAAGAGGGAAGAGACATATTCTAAACTTAGATCTAGATGATGGTTACTCAGTGTGTACATATATAAAAATTTACAAAGCTAATACTTAAGATTACTGCATGCATGCACATGCATGCACACACACACACACACACACACACGATTACTTGACATTTGAACATCTGAGTGTTACTCTCAATTATACACCAACTCTCTTTGTGACATTATTTCTGGGTCTTGTCTCTCTCTAGGCCTCAATTTCCTCAGACAGGAATCTACCAAATACCAATAAGATCCATGTAAATAGGTGTATTATGACAAATGTATGATGCTGCAGCACATTGTAAACTTTCCATGAAAGGAGAATATTATCATAAGTTTCTCAATTTAATTTAAGCAAAAAAATTTTTTTATTGACGAACCAATAAAGACCTTCCAGAAAAGTATGCTTCTAAAATCTGTTCAAGGTATGCTAAATTTGGGATATCCATTGTCCTTTGTGGTGATCATCTGTCAGCCATGTGAGAGATTTGTGTGCCAACTGATCTCAATAGTTACATACAGTAAGAAATCATGTGTAGGAAAACCAACCAAGACACCAGAGCAATTACCCTGGAGTTAGGTGTTGACTTACGAATGTGTTGCTTCCCATGTGAACCACTCTGTGTGTCCTAATTGGCAGAACGCTCTTATCGAATTAAGTTGGCTAATTATTTTTGGAGCAACCGAAAGGTGGTTTTCTAGTGTATAATCCAGTTATGAATTCTGATTGGAGTTAAAACATGGTTTTCTAAGATTCTGGCATTATTATTTCATTTTATCCCTTGTTTAAATCTGGCTAGGGTAGTCTGTGGAATAGTCTACACCCTTGTACTCAAGGATGATCCATGGAGCAGCCACACTGGCATCACCTAATACAGAATCTCAGGTCCCACCCTAGACCTACTGAAATGACAATGCAGTTCAAGATCTCCAGGTGACTTACAGGCACATTAAAGTTTGAAAAGCATTGATCAAACATGTCTTAAGCATTATGCCCACTGACCTTGGCATTGGAACTGAAGAGAGACTTGGGGAAGAGTTGAATGGGGAGGTGGGAGGTGAGGAAGCGTGAGCCCCCCTTATTATTCAGTAATTTATTTCCATCCTCAGTTTCTAACCAGGGTGAGCGTTCCCAGATGGGCACAGACTGGATCCACTTGGGATCCCCCTTGGAATGAATCAGACAGAGAATCTCAATCAACCAGTTTGTTCCTGAATAAAGGAGAAAAAGGTCAGTCATTTCAACGTGACTTTTTAAGAATTATAATAAAATACACATAATGTAAAATGTACCATATCGCTTTTAACCATACAGTTTGGTAGTGTTATTTATACCATCACTGTTGCTCAACTTGAGTTTTTTCATCTTCCAAAACTGAAACTATGCTCATCAAACAACCACTGTCTATTTACCCCTCTCTCCAGCCCCTGGCAACCACATTGTGCTTTCTGTTTCTATGAACTTGACTACTATAGATACCTTATATAAGAGTAATCATATAGTATTTGTATTTTTGTGACTGGCTTATTTTGTTTAGCATACTATCCTCAAGGTTCAACTACACTGTTGCATGCATCTGAATTTTATTTATTTCTAAGGACAAATAACATTCCATTGCACATATATCTCATATTTATCCATGAGATGGTTATCCACTCATCTGTTAATGGCTGTTTGGGCTGTTTATTCCTTTTGGCTATTTGCTTACATCATTTTGAAAAAAATCCTAGACAAGGGGGCAGGTCAGTCGGTGAGACCCTCTGTGAAAATGAGTGTCCATAAAGCCTCTCACTCTCCCTGGTGGCTACGGCTCTCACTGCTGCCAGCCTGCTCTTCACACACTGCTCTGCTGCCGCCTCCATGCACTGTTCTGCCACTGCCTCCACCTCCACCAACCAGGATGACCCTCAGCTCCCAGTCCATGGAGCTCCTCCCACACACCTCACTACTGACGCGGCAGCCACCACCACACCCCCCCCACGCCTGGGATGGCTCTTGGTCCTGTCCCATGGAGCTTCTCCCACACACCGTGCTACTGATGCTGAGGCCACCACTGCTAGCACCCCCTCCAACACTGGGTGGTTCTTGGATCCCACCCCGTGGAACTCTGCGCTCCCCCACCTGCTGCACCACCCACCTAGCCCTGCCTGAGCTGCCCAGTGCTACACTGACCTGAATCACCTGGCAGTCTCACATTCCACCTTCCCCAATTTAGCCCAGGCTGCAGCGAAAAAAAAAGATCAGCTGTAGCCCTGAGACCAGATGGGGACCTGCATTGCCCTACCCAGCTCCGCCCAGCTCTGCCCAGCCTCCAACTTGGGATCTAAGGTAATAGCATCAAAATGGGAGATACAGAAATGCCTCCCCCATGCTAGATCGGACACAGGTCAGATCTGAGTGGAATACTTCCCAGGCAGCCCAGATCTAATCTGCCCTCCACAGCAGGTCTGGGGAAACTGACCCTAGCTGTGAGCAACCTACCAGCCTGCAATGAGAGCTAGAGATAAGAGTTGAAAGGACATTAAACTTAGAGGAAAAACCTCAGAGCATGCTTGGTTCCCTTGTTTTAATTTTTTTTTATTCTTTGTTTGTTTTACTCATCTTTTTTCTGTTTTCTCTCTCTTCTTACATTTATTGTAACGTTACTTCTTACATTTATTGTAACATTACTTTGTTTCTGTTAGTTTAGTGATTTTTTTTTCTTTTGACCTCATGTTTGTGTAGGGGAATAGTACACCAATAAGGAAGTTGATTAGCTTGTATGTCTGTATGATTGTATGTTTTAGTTTTTTTGTTTGTTTTTACTTATCTGTCTTTGTCTCTTTTCATTTGTTAGTACATTTGTCTGTTTTCATGCTTCTTCTTCTCTCTTTCCACCTTCCTCTTCCCCTCATTCCCTGTTCCATTCTTTTCCTTTTGCTTACCTCATTTTGCTTTCAGGAAACAAACCTATACCCCCACTGCATGGACAGATTGCAAGGTAGTGGGAAGTGAGTTCCAGAGTATCCATAAGCTTGTCGGTGGATACTGGGATCCACAGACAGATTTTGAATCACAGCTCCTCCCTCAATTAAATCTCAATACTACAAAGAGTATAGCTCCCAACCTACAGTCCAGCTTCAGAATTGAACAAAGCCAGAGAATTCACATAAGGAAGAATAGGAGACTGAACAAACAGAAATAAAAGCAATACCATGACCCCTGAACAACAAAATTAAAGAAGATGGTTGAAAAATGAAAAAGTGGGAAGGAAAATCTACACAAAAGAAGAAAAGCCAAAAGAAGAATATAGGTCTCACACAGACCCTGGGAGGTCAGACACCGAAAAAACAGACTTCGGAATGCAAAGAATGAAGAGCCCCCAGAATGACTGGTCACATAGTACAAACCCAGACATCAAGACATTAACAGAGAGAATAAAAAGAATTGAGGAGAGACAAGAGGAAAATAGGAAGGAGTTAATAACTGAGATAACAGCAGTAAAGAATACTGTGATTGAAATAAATAACAAACTAATAAGCATGGAAAGCAGAATTAACCAAGCAGAAGAAAGAATATCAGAGCTTGAGGACCAATATATAGAACTAACCCAAACTGTCAAAAACATAGAAAAGAAACTTTAAAAGACAAAAAAAAACCTTCAAGAGATGAGTGATTACTTCAAGAGACCGATCCTGAGAGTAACTGGACTTCCTGAGGCAGAAAGAGAGACAGGGACCACCCTGGAACAAACATTCCATAAAATTATTCAAGAAAACTTCCCTAATCTCACCAGTGATGTTATCATTCAAACACAAGAGATTCAGAGAACCCCTGCAAGACAACAAATGAGAAGACCAACTCCCAGACACACAATAATTCACCTAAACAAAGTAGATATAAAAGAAAAATATTCTAAAGGAAGCAAGAAGAAAAGGTCAGACTACCTACCAGGGAGACGAATTAGAATAGCAGCAGATTTATCTACAGAAACACTTCAGGTCAGGAGAACTTGGAGCCCAGTCTTCAAAGTTCTCAAAGATAAACAATTTTAACCAAGAATAACCTACTCAGCCAAGCTAAGCTTCATCAGTGAGGGAGAATTAAAATCTTTCCCAGCATCCAATCCCTAAGAACTTATGCTGCCTCCAGACCACCTCTACAAGAAACACTTAAGTATTAAACACAGAAGAAAAGAAAAAAAGAATGACAATGTTCTTCACAAGAGTACAGGAAAAAGATTAAAAACACACATGAATCAATCAAAAATCAAAAGAAAGACAACAAACAAACAGGAACAACAATAACTCTATAAGAACTTTATGACAGGGATAAACCCTCACATTTCAATAATTAGCCTGAATGTGAATGGACTAAATGCACCAGTGAAAAGACACAGAATGGCAAAATGAATAAAATATCATGAGGCAACAATATATTGTCTCCAAAAGACTCATCTCACCAGAAAGGACACTCACAGACTCAAAGTAAGAGGATGGGAAGCAAAATTACAGGTGAATGGACCACAAAAGAAAGCAGGAGCTGCAATTTTAATTTCTGAAAAAATACCTTTTAAGTTATCAAAAATTAAAAAGGATAAAGAAGGTCACTACATAATGATAAAAGGTTCAATCCATCCACAAGAAATACTCATCCTAAACATATATGCACCCAACATAGGAGCACCAACTTTCACAAAGCAGCTTCCAGGCAAACTTAAAAAGTATATTGACTCTAACACTATCATAGCTGGGGACTTTAATATCCCACTCACAACCCTAGACAACTCATCAGGACAAAAAATCAGCAAGGAGATCTGGAACCTCAGTGTGACTCTTGACAAAATAGACTTACTTAATACCTATAGAACACTCCACCAAATATTCATTCTACTCATCACCACATGGAACATACTCTAAGATCGACCACATCCTTGGCCATAAATCAAGCATGAACAAATTTCATAAGATTGAAATTTTGCCATGCACTTTCTTAGACCACAGTGGAAGAAAAATAAAAATCAACACCAACAAGGTGCCCCGAAAACCCACAAAGACATGGACACTAAACAGCATGATGCTAAGCAACTCCTGGGTAAACATGGAAATCAAAACAGAGATTAAAAGATACCTGGAAACAAATGAAAATGAAGAAACATCTTACCAAAATCTCTGGGATGCCATGAAATCAGTAGTAAGAGGGGAATTCATATCTCTACAAATGCACAAGAAGAAAATGGAAAGATCACAAGTTAACAGCCTAACAAATCATCTAAAGAAGCTGGAAAAGCAAGACCATCCAAACCCTAACTTCAGCAGAAGAATCCAGATCACCAAAATAAAAGCTCAAACCCGGTACATAGAAGACAGATAATACACACACAAAAAAATCAATGAAACACAAAGCTGGTTCTTTGAAAAGATAAACAATATTGGTGGTCCCCTAGCTAGACAGACCAATAAAAACAAAGAAAAGGCCAAATAAGCACAATCAGAAACACAAAAGATGAAGTCACATCTGACCCAGAAGAAATACAAAATATTATCAGAGACTACTATGTACACTTATATGGAAACAAACTTGAAAACCTAAAGGAAATGGAGGACTTTCTGACACCACACAACCTCCCTAGGTTGAAACAAGAAGAAATCAAGACCCTAAATAGATGAGTAACAATCCAAGAAATTGGCTATGTTATAATAAAACTACCTACAAAAAAAAGCCCTGCACCAAATGGCTTTCCAGCAGAATTCTAAAAGACATACGAGGAGGAACTGATACCAATCCTACTGAAAGTATTCCAGGAGATTGAGAAAAATGGAACCTCCCCAAACCATTTTATGAAGCTAACATCACATTGATACCTACACCAGGTAGGACCTTTACAATGAAAACCACAAAACACTGCTCAAGGAAATCAAAGATGACACAAACAAGTGGAAAATATTCCCATCAAAGAAAGAGAGCTGCAGGCCAATATCTTTGATGAACATAGATGCTAAAATTCTCAATAAGATCCTAGCAAGCTGGATTCAACAACACATCTCAAAAATCATCCATCACAACCAAGTAGGCTTCATCCCCGGAATGCAAGGCTGGATCAACATTCGCAAGACCATAAGCATAATTAAATACATCAACAGATTTAAAAACAAAAACCACATGATTATATCATTAGATGCAGAAAAAGCTTTTGATAAAATACAGCACCCTTCTTGATAAAAAACCTTGAACATCTAGGCATAGGTGAAACATACCTCAAAATAGTAAGAGCCATCTATGAAAAATCCACCACCAGCATACTCCTAAACAGAAAAAAATTGGAACCATTTCCCCTAAAAACTGGAACAACACAAGGATGCCCACTCTCACCCCTCCTGTTCAACATAGTTTTGGAAGTTCTACCTAGAGCAATCAGAGAAGAGAAGGTGATCAGGGGTATCCAAATAGGAAAAGAGGAAATCAGTTTATCCCTCTTTTGTAGGTGACATGATTATATATCTTGAAAACCCAAGAGAATCTGTTAAAAACCTCCTTGCACTAATAAAGGACTTCAGCAAAGTCTCAGGGTATAAAATAAATGTGCAAAAGACAATCATATTTCTATACACCAGTAATAAACAAACAAAACCAAATAAAAAGCACAATTCCATTCACAATAGACACACAAAAAATGAAATATCTTGACATCTTCCTAACCAGAGATGTGAAAGACCTTTACAATGAAAACCACAAAACACTGCTCAAAGAAATCAAAGAAGACACAAACAAGTGGAAAATATTCCATGCTCATGGAATGAAAGAATCAACATTGTTAAGATGCCCAATCTACCTAAGGCAATCTATAGATTTAACGCAATACCAATTAAGTTACCAGCAACATTCTTCTCAGACGTAGAAAAAACAATACAGGAATTCATATGGAAACATAAATGACCAAAAATAGCCAAAACAATCCCCAGCAAAAAAAAAAAAAAAAGCAGGAGGTATAACACTCCCTGACTTTAAACTTTATTATAAAACTACAATAATCAAAACAGACTGGTATTGGTACAAGAACAGGCATATAGACCAATGGAATAGAATTGAGATTCCAGAAACAAAAACGCAATTTCTCAACCAACTCATCTTTGACAAAGCCTCCACCACCTCCTACTGGGGAGAGGAGAACCTATTCAGTAAATGGTGCTGGGAAAAAACTGGCTGACCACATGCAGAAAATTGAAACAGGACCCCTACATATCCCCATACACAAAATTCAGCTCTAAATGGATCAGAGACCTAAACATAAGACCTCAAACTATAAGAACCTTGGAAAATGCAGGAGACATCCTTATGAAAATTGGAACTGCAACCAATTCCTGATTAAAACCCTAAGTGCCCATGCCATAAGAGATAAGATAAACAATTGGAACCTCATTAAACTGACAAGTTTCTGCAAAGCTAAAGATAGCAGTGAGACAGCCAACAGACTGTCCATTCACAATAGACACACAAAAAATGAAATACCTTGACATCTCCCTAACCAGAGATGTGAAAGACCTTTACAATGAAAACCACAAAACACTGTTCATAATAACAAGAACATGGAACCAACTGTGTTGGCATCAAGAGAGCAGCAAGACAGCCCACAGACTGGGAAAAAGTATTTGCCAACTCCATGTCTGACAAAGGCCTAACATCAAGGATCTACAAGGAACTCAAATGTGCTGAAAAGAAAAAAAAAACAGCCCCATTACAAAGTGGGTCAAAGATATGAATAGACACTTCTCAAAAGAAGACATATGAGCAGCCAACAGATACATGAAAAAATGTTCAGCCTCACTAGTCATCAAGGAAATGCAAATTAAAACTACACTGAGATACCACCTAACTCCAATCAGAATGGCCATCGACAATAACTCAAAAAATAACAGATGCTGGAGAGGATATGGTGAAAAGGGAACACTTCTACACTGTTGGTGGGAGAGTAAACTAGTATAGTCTCTGTGGAAATCAATGTAGTGATTTCTAAAAGTTCTAAAAATCAACCTTCCATAGGACCCTGCAATCCCTCTACTGGGAATATACCCGGAAGAATTCAAATCACTCTATAAAAAAGATACCTGCACACATGTTTATCGCAGCATTGTTCACAATAACAAGAACATGGAACTAACTGTGTTGCCCATCAAAAGAGTACTGAATTTTTAAAATGTGTTACATAGACATAATGAAATATTACACAGCCATAAAGAAGAACAAAATCATAAACTTTGCAGCAACCTGGGTGGAATTGGAGTTTATAATACTGAGTAATCTTTCACAGAAACAAAGATCTGAGTATCACTTGTTCTCACTCATAAGTGGACCTTGAACAACTACCATAATACTATAAGAAAAGGATTGACAGTAGCAGGAAACTGCAGGAGGGAGGGAGTGGAAAGGTGGGATTGACAGTAGTTGATATCGGCCTGGGAAAGGGGGGGACACACCTCTTCAATAAGGGTAGCTGCAATAATGAATATTTGTATACCTAACCCTGAATTGTACCCCACAATTTTAAAATTAAAATTTAAAAAAAAGAAAAGAAAAAATCCCATTGCTCGTGACTTCTCAGGGTCATGCTGCTTCCAATGTTTTTGGCCTCAATCCTCATCCACTTTGCTATGCTCTTGCCTCCCCTTCTCCTGCCCCACTCTCATAGAAATATGATACACATCTTCAGTCTCTTGAATTTGCCAGAATCTTTTTCAATTCCTGACCATCTTCCATGATGATTCACCTATCTGAAAACATCCCTCTTCACTAAGTAATTTCACATTTATTTTTATTTTTATTGAGAGGCCATTTCTTCTGTTAGGACCTCAACTCCATCCTCTTCCAGTACCCCTGCTCACCAAAAAAAAAAAAAGGCTTAATCTGCCTTAAAATTCACTCCTATGCATTATCCTAATATCTTAGATTATCTCCATGAACTTTGTAATTCCCTGACTAAATCTTTTTCTCTGAACACAAATGGTATTAGGCATTTCTCCATTCTTGGCAAAGCATTGTATGTTGTCTGTCATCTAGAGCTCTGTCAAATCTCCTACTGAATCAGTGAGGAACACAACCACAGCATTTCTTAGTTTATTATTCTATCTCCTTACCTGATTTGGGGTAAGTCACTGTTACCACATCTTCATCCTTTACCACAAACTCATCACGTAATTTTTTAAGGATTTCAACTTTGAAACCCAAATTAGGGAAAGGTATCCCTGCAAACCACAAGAAGTCATTCGACATGACAATGAGCTCTTTGTGCCTTGGTGTTAGGGTTTCAACTGCAGCCACCAGTGAAGATCGTGACAGCTGAGGAAAGATCAGATTTCATAACGAAAATAAAATAATCATTAACCTCTTCCCAGTCTGTTATCTGTTTGTTGTGAAGTCTACTGGCTGATAAAGAGAATTCAATATTGCAATGGACAGTCAAAAGAGTGATGATATTGAGCAACTGTGAACACATTCAGAGAACATTCTATGGGTAATCTGAGTTTGCATATATGGGAGTGAACTGGAAATTCAATAACAAACACAAGGACATATAAATAAATGTGTGCATATTTAAACAAATATTTTTAATTTTTAATTTTAGAGCAGTTTCAGAATACTAAGAGTTTCCAGTTCTCACACTTTTCTTATTTATTTTTATTTGTATTTTTTTACGTGCCTTGACAGTATTCAGGAGTACTGCTCAGGTATCTTATGCAATGTCTTTCCACAGGGATTTATTGAATGATTTTTCTCTTCCAATAAAAGATGTCATGAGTTTTGGAGAGGAAGATCATAAAGGTAGAATACCATCATTATCACATCATGTCAAGGATACTTACTATCTACATGGCCAATCATTAATGATGTTAACCTTGGTCATCAGAGATCATGTTCTTTAGATTTTTCTACTGTAGTTTTACTTTCCCCCTTCTTCTTTTTCAATGTGGGCATATTTTCAACATAAACTCTAGACCTGATTACATTGATGAAATCACTTTATATAAACCCCAATCAAGGGATTTCTACAAAATAATTACCTATATTCAGCTGTCAAATTGTTATGAAAAACAAAGAAAAACTGAGTACATGTTCCAGGTTAAAGAAACATGCTAACTAAGGATAATTTGAATCCTGGACCACACATACACATATATACTATAATTATATTATTGGGACAGTTGGTTACATTTGAATATGCAGCATGGATTTAGATAATGATACTGTATCACTGTTAGAGTCCCTGATTCCTATAATTGACTCTGCTTATATAGAATACATCCTTGTTCTTAGAACAAACACATCCAAGTTGTAAGGAATACAAAAAAAAAGTCTATAACTTATTTTCAAATGGGTAGGGAAAGAATTAATACATATATGAGAAAGAATGAGTGAGAGATGACCTAGTAAATGTTGCAAAATCTTACCATCGGTTAATCTGTGTGACCCACATACAAGAATCTTTCTGTGTGTGTGCACATGTGCATGCGCACACGTGTGCACATGTGTTTTGCAAGACTTCTCCAAATTTGAAGATATTTCAATATAAAAGTAAAAAATGTACAAGTGAAGTTTGGTACCCCACATCTTTAAAATAAAAAAAGACGCTGCCAAAAAAAAGATTTTTGAAAAGAGGGAAAATGAGGGGAAAAAAACACAGTAATAATGAAATAATAATGTTGAATAATTTGAATAAATAAAGTCAGAGGTAAAAAAAAAAAGTAAATAATGGATATACTATAACAATGATGAGCTAGAAGTGAGCTAGGCAGGCTAGCTAGCTCACACATGGGGTGGGAGGAATGGAGAATGACAGTAAGTCCCCTACATACAAATGAGTTCTCTTCTAAGAATGTATTCATAAGTCCAATATGTTCCTAAGTCCAACAGAGTTAGACTATGTCCCCAACTAACACAATCAGCTATATAGTGCTGTTCTATAATAGGTTTTAATACTTTTATTTTTAATACACTTGCTTCCAGACATCCTGGGCTTGAAATAAAGATACTGTACTACCATATTTTGTTCAGTACTGCACAATAGAGTACACAAAAGCACAGCCACTTGTGGAGGATGCACACACGTGACAATGTACACCAAACACATGAATGCATGTTCACATCTTTGAAATTTCACTACTTTAAGGTTTGAATGTAGGAAACTTACTGTACTGAGCTGGAGGTTAAGAGGTTAACAATTTCCTGTGATTTGTAACTACTATGAAACTGATACAGACTTTCTGTGGCTTGAAACTGACCCAAACGTCCTACAGCTTGTAACTGACATGAAACTAACACCAAAAAAAAAAAAACTAGATAAAAGCCAGCACTCCCTATCCCCCATTATCTTGTAGATTGCCCATACTACACTGTCGGTGACCTGCACTGACCAAGGGGGGGTTAGGACCTCACCGGTGAATCAGAACGGAGAGAAGAAACCACACGGAGGCAGCTCTTCTGGGAACAGTCTGGCCAAGACTGAAGCCAATTTTATTCAAACTTTTTCCAACTTATATACCATTTTCTATAATCTCCAGCAGTGTGACAATTACTTGCTGGGGGCGTACAAGTTCATTGATGTGTAACACGCTTTACAAATCATGTACCATCACAAGACTTTCAAGTTCCCAGTGAACAATTACAATTCCATGATGTATGAATCACAGGTGCACAATTTCAATACAGATTGTTCAAAATGTTTTCCACAATGTTCAATAAATCATTCATATTATACTCTAAGTTCTAAACCCTGATTAAAAAACTTTCCAAGTTAACTCTACGTTCAATCCAATTTTACTAACTTTTAATATTTTTGACGATTAATATTATTAACTTAACACTATACTATAATCTATAAGTTTACTTAAATGACTTAATTTTATTACCTTAATTTTATACTATTTATTTTTATAATTCTTATAACCTACTACATTTCTATACTGCCCTATGATTGCATATTAATTACCTATGAACTTATCCTTAACCTAAAATTTTATCACAACTTCTATAAATTTCAAATATCTAAACTATTGTCTTTTATACTTCATTAATTACTTATCTTATAATATCATGTCTAAATTCTAATACAACTATTATCCTACTATAATCTATTACAAACCTTATCATTAGTACTAATAAGTATAAAAATTATGAACTTACTCTATGTTCAATAAAACTTAATTCAATGACATTTTAACCTAAAACCTAAATCTGATTGCCTATCACGTGGAAACTACCTATGTCTCAAAACCTGCCATGCCACTTAAAACAATGAACTGCACAGTTGCCATGACGACAGCCGGGGACTGAAGCAAGCTGAAAGTTACTGCACGTACAAAAACCAAGAACATTCTGCTTGACCAAAGGCAACATAATACAACTATTATCACAGTTATAACGTCTAATCATAACCCCAAGTGAAACTACATACTGGAACAAAAGCTAATCAATCAGTTTACCAGGAAATAACAGCTAAAAATCTTAAGAAGAAAAACAGTTTAGAAAGAAAAAGAGATATAAAATAATTCTGCTGTGCATTTTTCATAGGATATAATAAGATTTTATTTTAGACTGTCACTTCCTAATATTGAAAATTCTGTTGTCTTATAATACACTGGTTACTATTCATATGTACACACTTGATGTTATATCCTTGTCTCAGAGGCGACCTTCTGAATAGGCCTTCATAGGCCTCACCTGTGTGGTTACAGATGTTGGCTCCCAACACTACACTCTCACTACCTCTCCTGAGTGTGTACTTTCGATTCAAATTGAAGTTCCTTCCTTTACTTTCTGTCACTTGTCCTTGAATTCTTTTCTGAGACAGAGTCAAGAGCCTGGTCCTGGGTATAAGCTGAGGGTCACACCTCTTGGGAGGAGACTTCCAACTCCCTAAGGAGTCAGCAACAGCAGCATGCTGGGCCTAGTTGGGGAACACTCTTTCTCACTGAGGTGATCTTTCCCAAACCTGCCAGCATCATTACAGGCAGAGGATCACATATCTTGGATAAAGACTTTCAACTCCCCAAGGAGTCAGCTGTGACCATTTGCTGGACCTAACTGGGGGATGCTGTCTTTCACTGAGATGATCCTCAAGTCCACCATCATCATCTTTGTGGTGAGCTAGCCAGGAGACTGTTCACAAAGATACCCATCATAGGATAGATTGGTGACCCCTGCTTTTCTGTCTTTCTTGCATTCATTTTCATGGCTGCCCAAGAACGTTTAGATCAAACTCCCTTCAGTCTGGAATTACTAGTTTCCTATGGCCAGACTCCCAGCTCACTCTAACAAGGGATTTACAGAAGTGGGATGACTTGTGCCTATATTGAGTAAATCAAGAGATTTCCAGATTTCCTCTGACAGGGAACTTGTGGAGGCAGCTAGAGAATCGCCTAGCCATGTAGTGGCTAAGCTCTTGGACATCAGACTTTTGTTTCACCACAGGTGACCTCATTCTCCCATTTCTCCATTCCTCTTTGGAAAGCAGCTATTTATTTTTCCTTTTGCAACACATTTTGGCAGTCTTTTCCCTGCTCTGTGCTCTTGTTTATCTTTAATTATGATGAGGCAAGACACTGGAATAGGGTATGCTGTGCATGTGGAGACCCAAACCATCAGGCCCCCCACCGCGGCTTTTGAATAGAGTTGGAAGCAGTCGCATATTGAGACAGTTTATAAACTGCTCTGATTCACTCCTTGGTTTAATCTGTCATCTCTGACAGCATCAGTCTACTACTTTTATTGTTTTTCCTTCAATTCTTACTGATACCCCTGTCCACACGAATATTGTAACCATATTGCTCTATTTATGGAAATCTCCCAACTCCTACAAACTTTTTCTTAACTTTTTTGACACCTCTCACGAGTACCAACCTAACCCAACCCACTAGTTTCCAATTGAAAGCTCAGATCTACACAAACTAAAGGGACAAGGTCACAGAAACAACTGTAAAGTTTGGAGAGGCCCAGAAGATGTGTCATGTAGAGTCTTGTTTAAGGCCCCCCATGAGTAAGGCCCCTACAGGACTCAATTCCATTCTCATTGGAGGGTTACTCACTCCCAAATGCCATGGCTCCTCTCCTTGGGGTAAGCAGTTAATCATGTGGTTTAACAACACCCAGCCCCATTATGTCTGCACACTCTCCAGATATACGTTTTTACGTGGCACTAAAGACAATACAACTTACAAAGGAAGTCCTTCCTCAACTTTCCAAATGCCCCTTAGGGCCAATGAATACTCCTGTATTGA